TATATTTTTACCTTCCAGGATTGTAAGCCATAATATCTAAAAACAAAATAATAAGTGATTAAATATAAATAATAATATTATTATAACACCAAAGATACAAACACCTAAAAGGATATTTTCTTACATTTAACAAGCCCATCCTTAATTCCGCGTCTTCCATAAGGTAATAATGGTCTTGAGAATTCAATAGTTGCTAGACTATCACTTACATTTGGAGTAACATTTATTAAATCTGAATTATCATCACGATTAGGTGGGTAATGATCAGCTGATGATGATCGATAATTGAATAAGTCAATTTTATTTTCCTGTACCTATAAAAATCAATTTATTTATTTATTTATTAAAATTTAATTTTAATAAAAAATTTTTTTTTGTAATCTTACAAAGCCAATAACAAAATCTGCTCCCTTCATTCCAATGTCATCAGGCTCAAACCCCTAAAAAAAAAACATTTTTTTAAACAAAATTTAATAGACTAAACCCCTCAAATTTTCATTATTACTATAACAACAACAACAACAACAGCAGCAGCGACAATAATAATTACCATTCCAAACCATCCCTCACCATCACCAGTTTGTAAAGTTACTTTGAAATGAATAAAAGGTTCATCAATTCTATATTTAATAACATATGATGACCACACAGAAATATCATTTGGATAATTTACATCAACAGCTGATGAAGAATTGGTGGTTTTTGATTGGGGTTGAACTGTCCAAATATTTTGTGGCATGGTTGGTTGTTTATTTTCTAGCAGATTACGTAAAATAATATCTTTGAATGTTGTGCTATTAAGGGTGACTCTTTCAACATCAGTAAACATGTTGCCATTCTCCCACCAAAATTTGTCAGAATCTCTGATTTTAGTAAACTACAAAATAAATTTAATAAAGCACAAATGAGTGGGTGTGTTGATGAGTTAGTGATTAATGAAAATAAAGGCTACCTGATTGAACATACTAATGCTCATTAATTCACCAAAATTTGATCCATCCAAATGATCTTCAACTATTGCACCAACAGAAGTTTCTAATTGATTAGGTCCATTAGGATACAATTGTTGCAGATAATCTTGTAATATTTTAACTGATGTTATCTCTTGCCAACTTTTCTTTGTTGTTAGCCCATATGCTTGACGAGCATCATTATACAAAGCAATTCCTACAAAATTTCAAGTCTTTTTTCAAAAAAAATATTCATGTTTTTACATGTGCATGTTAACATACATAAAAATGCAGTTGTCACACCTCTGTCTCTGGCTCTTAAAACATCAAAAGCTGCAATATCATAAATACGCGGTTCAATGGTTGTAGCATTTCTCATAGCATCAGAATAATAAATATCCAATTCTTCTTGATGTTGTAGGGACATTGATCTCAACACTCTTTCCATTCCAAATTTTTCCAACAATTGAATTTGTAAAATGTTATCTAATGTTAGATCTGCAAGCAATTCTCCAAATTCATCTTGTATACGATAATTATTGCTATCATCAATAATGAATAACGTCAATAATTATATAATTAATGATTATAATTAGAAAATTACATGATAATTGATTGATTGATTTACCCGAGTTCGCTGTGAACATATTTGAATGTTATTGTTGCGAAGAAAAGATCAATTCCTGGTACTAGAGTCTCATTATATTGTTTATATGGTGGCAGTGGTTTACCAAGAATGATGCCAAGGTACTCTTCGGTTACTACTTTTTGATAAAATGCAATATTCCATTTTCTCTAATTAAATCAAATATAAGATAATTCTTAATAGTTTGTTACATTAATAATCATCCCAAACAACTTTAATTGATTGCTTACAGCCTCTTCAAAATATTGATCATCAGTCCACGAATCACCATATTTGTCATAAAATTGATCACACAATCTATTATGTTCACGCATCCAAATGATATGAATTGCAAGTGTGAAAATATTATTTGCTCGATTAAGAAATC